GTCACTATGAGTCAGACCCAACTCCACGGGACATAACAACAACTCCTGACTATAGGAGATGTCATTGCATTAAGAGATAAAGTCTGTTGACTTACAGGTCATCAAAATTCTATCTTAAGGAGCTCTGGTAGCATAGTGGTTACGAACCGGGCTGCGAACCTCACGGTCAGCAGTTCAAAACTACCAGCTGTTCCGTGGGAGAAAGTTGGGGCTTTCTGCTCCCGTAAAGATTTACAGCCTTGGAAACCCTGTACAGGGTCGCTATGAATCAGAACAGACTCCACAGCACATAATCAACCAACCTATAAATAGAAAATGAGTTTTTGATTGGACCATAAAGTAAAACAAGGTTTATAATAAGTGATGTATCTTTTATTTAGTCCACTCCATTTTAGGTAATCCCTTGTTTTACTTTATGATAATAAAGTGATTCAAAAGGATGTATATGCAGCATTTATTTTCAGAAAAAATAAACTTTTCACCTTAGAAAAGGATAATACTTGAGATAGTACTAATTTATAAGGTAGCTTACCTTTACCTGTAAACAACTAAACTTTGTATTCATTTCTTTTCTTTCTTTTTTTTTTTCAGTTTTATTGTGAATAGAGTGGTAGTTTACATGGAAGAACATCGGTTTTACACTCATCCTATCATATTTTGTTTCATTGCAATGATTACAATCCCCTCCATACATCATCATTCAACAGTATTTGCTTCAATTCCCTGTCTTTTTTTGTTTTGTTTTGTTTTTGATGTATACAAGAACACTCAGGAGTACATAATAATTTAAACAGCCAAAGGGCACATTCTACAAGCCTACTTCCTGGATGCCAGCACCCAGCTTTTCTCTTATCATGAGTCTAGAGTCCTCAGCTGCTCTATCTCTCCATGTCATCATCTCTGCCTCCATCTCTGGTGTCACTGTTTCTCTGGATAAGGTCCCACATTCCTCTCATGTTCTTCTCCTTTGATGGTCATAGGGTCCTCTGTTCCTGGACAGAAAGAATAACTACTC